TGCGGAAAAATGCAAGTTTCTCCACTTTGATTATTTTGACGAGAGCCTGATTCCACCACGCTGCCTCACAACTAACAAAACAAACAAAGCAATACAAAAGAAACCAAACAAAACAAAAACAAAAACAAGAACAACAACCCTCCTCATCTTCCCCTACATTAAACCCCGACGTCCACACGATTGGGTCATATTTCAGAGGTCATTGAGTACACTGACATTTATACGACTTCCTGTTCTCGCCTGCTGGCCTCTCTAGCACTCTACACCAGGAGTGGTCACTTCCGTCGCGAGACTGACCGCCAGGGGGGCTGCCGGACACAACTTAAGTGAGGGTTCACACTTGTCCGATTGATTCGAATCGGACCGATCCAAATCAGAACCCTGCTCAACTCTATCTCTACACACGTTCTATTTGTTTTCTTCTTTCTTTTTTTTTCTTTCTTTCTTTCGTTCTTTCTTTCTTTCGTTTTTAAAACTGAAAACGAAAAATAGCCCCGCGCCTTTTAGAATTTCGATTGCGATCGTCCAAAAGATTTGACCTTTGTTTTCGTGAGGAAAAATATTGTCTGCAAGCAGGTCAATCTACGTACTAAGTACACCCCCCCTCCCCCCTCAAAAAAAAATTTCAGGAGGGAAGAAAAACAAAATCGAATTAATTCTTTAAGAAATTATACTTATATTATGTAGGGGTGGCTGCAAGGGGGGGGGGGTGTCTTACTTTTTTCAGTATTTAGAAATCAAATTTCAACAGAATGATTTTTCTTGATCACCTGCAACCGATAACACAGAAAAGGAAAGTGTAGCCAAAAAAAGATCGTCGGTTGGGGGACACCACGTCTTGCAGGTCCTACTTCTTTCCTTTCCTTCTGTTCTTTCTGTCTATCTGCCTTGATTCCTCCCTGCACTATGTGACCGATAGTGTACCGATTTATGCTTCTATTTACTCAAACTCGTGGGTGGTTGAGGGGTGCTCTGGTGTGGTCTGATTCTTCTATCATATCAAACATCTATCATCCTTATCTCCCCCTCTTCTTTTTTAATGTTGTTACTCCCTTGTAACACCTCCAATCTTCTGGCGCTCATATTATAACCTTATGCAGTTGCGAGCGCCGTAAAACCTCTACTAAAACTAAAACACACAAGAAATGACCACCCGCCTAATACATTTTCTGGCCGCGATTGCTTGACATTATTTCCCAGCCAGTTTGTCTCGGACTCCTCGCTAGAGCTGGGCAATGAGTCGCTTTAGCAAAATCCGGATAATATGTTAGTGCACCTCTTCGGCAAATAAAATGATAGAACCGCTTCTGCAAATGGGTTAGAACCACTTCGACAAACGGGTTAACATCACCTCAACGAATGAGTACTCCCACTTCGGCAAACGGGTGAGGAAAGTGAGTTAAGAGTCTGAATTCGGACAATGTTTTATTGCTAATTATCTGGTTATTCGGATAGATTATCCGGATTTTGCCCACCTCTTCTCCTCGCCACCGACGGCTAAAAAGGTATACGATAAAGAACAAATCAAACAAATACCAAAAACAAACAAAACAAAACGAATTGAACAAAGTTTTTAAAAGTATACAATAAAGTAAAAATAGAAAACAAAACAAAACAAAACGAATTGAAGAAGGTAAAAAAGTATACAATTAAGAATAGATCTAACATATAACAAAACAAAATTAATAGAACTAAGCAAAAAAGTATAGTAAAACAAATCGAACGAATAGCAATACAAAACAAATTGAACAAAGGACAAACCGAACAAATAACGAATCGAAGAAAGAAAGAAAGAAAGAATGAATGAATCGAACTTAAGAAACTCGTAGACGCGGATCGGACCTAACAAAAAGCTCGTGTGAAATGTGCTTTTACACAGATTCCCATCTCATCAAAAACTCGCGGGGAATCGATCGGTAGGATAAGGGCGCAGAGTACTTAAGATGGCCGGCACGCGTCGATTCGCGCGCTCTTAACACTCTTCATGGTCTGATTATGACTTTTGATTCGGGAGGTCAACAAGGGTCAAGACAGTTTTGAGTGGGCTGAGAGGGGGTTAAGGAAATGGACGTGGCTTAGGGGAATGGGAGAGTAAAGATAGGGAGGAGGAGAGGAGAAAGGGGGTGGGGGGGGAGTAGGAGAGGGGAGGGAAGTGCTGATTTTTAAAAAAAGGTTGTTTTGTTTTAATGTTTTCTCT